GTGTTTTTCAGCATCGTGTGGCACAGAAAACATCCTAAAATGCTCTGATTAGAGCTCATCCAGGCTACACACTTTACCCTTCTTCCCAAAGAGTCTCTCTAATTATTATGCTTTTTAAAAACTCGGTTTTTGGGTGATAAAATAGGATATTTTGCACCTCTTCAAACTAGCCCCCCTTTTTATTACTGATATACAAATATTTTTAAATGACCCCACTTACTTCATTCCATTAATATGGTGGGTGCTTTAGTCCTCTGAACAACCTTATGATGTGGTCATTGTTATTATCATATCTATGACACCGATGAGAAAATTTAGACTCCTGGAAGATAAGTAATTTTCCCAAGGTCAGTCAACAAAACATGGTAAAAGGAAGATCTGAGCACATGGCCACTGAGCACATGCATGTGTAGGAGACACCGTGTTCCCTGTAGAATCTTTTAATTACATGCAGTGATCTCCTATAACCTACCCACATAATCACATTGTGGTACTCAAAGGAATGGACTGAATGTTAAGTAGGGCACTCTGGTACTTCTGGCTTCCTCCCAGGGTCATTGACTCCCACACACTTGAAAAAAGCAGGGCTATCTATCCCTATTCCCATGCATAGCAGGAGTACAGCTTGAAAACCAGAACAATGGACAACTTGTGACCTCCCTGTAGATAAATCACCTCTGTCCCAAGTCTCCTTGTCCCCAGTAAACTCCCCCAGGAATAAGCAGTCCCCCTTTGCTTTGGCTCTGTGCAATTTGGAGTCAGCAACTATCTTCTTCTCATTACCACATATGGGGACAAAGATCTGACCAGATAACTTACCCTTTTCATCCATTAATCCTGGGTGACCCCACCCCTCTCCCATGTCTCTACTTCCAGTTGCAATACTTCCTGCTGCCTTATTCTAACCTTAGTGCCTTTTTAGCAGGTGTGCAGTGAACAGTGGAATTCCCCATGGGCCCTCCTTCAGGAAGTAGTTTGAGAAGGTGCCTGATATTATCAGCACTATTTTCCTTCTTGGCCTTATTCCTAAAGCTTCACAGTTTCAGTGTTTTTCCCATCTATCCCAGAGAAGAGAACATAGCATATAGCCATCTCTTATGTCCTATCTATTCTCAGTCGCACCGACGCCTCTGTGTTTTCCTCTCTTCATCAAGTCAGATTTTAAGTACAAAATCATTCAGCACAGGCTCTCATAGCCCAGGAGTTTAAAACAAGAGCTTCTAGAGTTCAAGTCTGTCTTCCAATCTCATCTTGACCACTTGTCCGGGTGTGGGACTTTGAACAGGAGTTAATCATTCCTTAATGAGGTTCAGTTTTCTCACCTGCAGTTTGGGGTGTTGAGTGGTTAAGGGTTATCGTGGGGATGAAATGAGAGAATGCATGTAAAAACTCTGTGCCTTGAATGGCACCCAAATTCTCAATAAATTAATTGTGAATACAACTAGATTCCTCTAGAACATGGCCATTCTTCATTATCATAATAAAAGTAGTGATTTTTAATTCACCACATTGCAAGGTCATACTCCAGAAGCATTCTTTGGTTTTGGAGGCTTTAAATCTTGTCTTTGAGGTGCCAGGTCTACAGCTTCAGGCCCAAGTTTAATTTCTGTCACTAGCCAGAGCCAGTCCTTCAACCTAGAATTAGATCACATCCCCCGGGTGGCACAATGAAGAAAATTGGCTCATGTATCATTATGCTCCCCTCTGCTAGATTAGCTTTAACAACATGCAAACATAATATTATTTCTCACCTCTTTAAAAACTAGGCAACTTTTTGATACCCGTTCAACCCTTCAACTGTTGTCCTGGTCCTCTTTTTTTTTCTTTAAACCAAAATTCCTTGCTTGCCTATACTCATGATCTCCACATCTCCTCCTCCCAGTCCCTCCTCAATCCTCCCCAGTCAACCCTCAAGCCAGTGGATCACATGACAATCACAGCATCATTTTTCCCTCCTTCCAGAACTTGTTTTCACTTAGATATCAGGCTATTATACTGGTCTTCTTTCTGTTTTGCGTTTTGTCTTAGTCTCTTTTGCTGTCTTCTTCTCATGTCCTTAAAGTCTACATGGTAAAGATCCCCAGAGCTCAATCTGTGGACTTCATACCTTTGCTTTCAACTTTTTCATTCTGGCTGATCTTATTGAGTTTCTCTTCTTTTCTATCTACCATCAAATCTCAACCTCACCTAGTATATGGTTTTTGGATTCTATCCACATGGTGATTCTCCAAAGTTCAATCTGTATTTTAGAGCTCTCCTGTGAACTGCAATATATTTAATAGCCCATTTATATGTCCCTTTCTATGTCTAGTATGGATCTCAGACTTGATGTTATAAAGCAGAATCCCCAATTGTGCTCCCCAGTATGGTCCTCTTACTGTCTTTTCCATCTCAGTTAAGAGCAATTCCCTCCCATTGATGATCCAGCCACAGATTCTAGTGCCACCCGTCTCCCTCATTTTCTTATACCCCTGGTCAGTCAGAAAAATTCTGTGAGCCACACATTTAAGATGCACTTTTCATTGTCTTCATTTCCACTACCCATAAAAGTGCCTGACACACAGCAGACATGTAATACTGACACACTGAAAAAAATAGGTGAAGTGCATATTGTCACCACCCTGCTTCCTGTAATTTCTTTGACAAAACTGAGTCCTCAAGGCCTTTATGGACAATCTGGCTCACATGTTCCTCTCTGTTCTCATCTTTTTCCACTAACCAACCCATATCTTATGCTCTAATTATAGTTGCCTACTTTGAGTTTCCAATTTATCATGCTGTTTCATTCTTTCATGACTTCACAGTGCTATTACCTCAGCCTATAACAGGCTATGTCAACAGACTTTTAAGAGTCATCTTCTTTAACAAAAACCTCACTCTAGTGTCACTGCTTCTCCTCTGTGCTTGTCCACCTCTATCATAGAATAAACCACACCCTACAGTGGTTCATCTCTTCGGTATCATATGCCAATTTCCCTGTCTTGGTCTTCTTGGTTTGCTATTTCTAATGTACAGAACAGAGCATGGCTCATGGCATACAATAAATGTGAATGGATGAATGGACTCCTGTGTGTACAGAAATTGTTCATAGATGGATTCATAAAACAAGGGGTATTAGGAAGATTTATCCTTTCACTCTAAATGTCAATGAATTCTTTTCTGGCAGCAACACTTCATCTTTAAAGATAGGATGACTCTGAATATTTTCTTTGAGAGAAGTTTTATTTCTCCAAAGACAACACTTCCTCTTTCCGGCACAATTACTTTCTCTTTAAACTAATATATATCTATATCTATATCTATCTATCTATCTATCTATATATATATACACACACATATATACACACATATATAATACGCATATATATAAATCTTAAATGAATATACTTCAACTTAACTTAAAAATTTATCCAATTTCTATTAGATTCACTGCCTTCCACTTTGACTACTCACCTGTCTCTCCCTTTCAGTACCCTTTCAAGGTTGAGATCAGTCAGTTGTGAGTTCCAGTAAAAATTGTGTTTTAACAATACAAAGAATATAAAATGCTTTCTTATCACAATATTATAAGTGCATAAAAAAGTACGTGTGAGCAGAGACTGGAGAAGTAAATAAGACATGGTTCACCATCGTTTATTGAGCACTTACTATGACCCATATGTTTCATAGATGCGTTTTATAGATGGAGACAGAACAGCCCAACACTTATGCAAACTGCTGTAATCTCATTTGGCAAGCAACAGTGGTGCCACTTGCTCTGTCCCCAGCTTGGAGCACCAAGAAGACAAACTATTCAGCTGTTGGTGGTCCACTAGGGTTTATGGGCCTCTAGGAAATGTAGAGAATGGAAACTAAATTATTAGGGAAACGATGTTTGTTATTGGGGTGGAGAGAAGCAAGGGGTTTTGGTGGTAAGAGCAGTAGGTATCCTTCTCATATGGTTACCAAGACAGCTGTGCCTCTGAACCCCAACTGCACAGGTTCTCTTGAAAGAGCCAGCGTTGGGGCAGGGGAGTAAGTTGGCCATTTGGCTTGCAGGGCTGTGGGGGGGGGTCCACAGAACCAGCCCCTTTCTCCAGCACTGCACCTACATCTGTTCACAGCTCTCTTCCCCCTCCCAGAACCAGTCCCAGCAAGGGCTGGACCAACAACTGATTTGCACAGGCAAAGAGCTGTGCAGTGTCCAGTGCTTCTCCTAGGACCAAACACCAAACCTGTTCTATCCTTTCTGAAGTGGCCAAGTCCTGAGAAACAGGTCTTTTATCCATGCTGAAGAAGAGATGGCAACACAACCCCTTCCTTTCCTTCTGGAAATTCTACCTCTACATACAAAATGTGTTGGGTTAACCCGCTTAAAAATGTGTAAAACACACATGCATGGGGTGAGTGTGTGTTTAAACCTTCTGGCTGGATTTCCTCTCTTCTCCTTGTATGTCCTGGTCCTGCTTTCTTCAGGGTGAACATCAGCCTCCCAGCCCTTCCAGAACAGCACAGCCTCCTGCCTCCTGACCCCAAAGCTTCAGGTCAAAACAGTCAGCAGGAAAAAGATCCTTCCCACGAGTTTCTGGAAAGAACGCCATGGGTTTTCCTTGGTCCTATGCCTGTCCTTAGCCCACAGGTGTGTTCAGAAGATGATGCACACCCCTGCTGCCACACAAAGAATGTGAGTTTAAGCCCGGCGCAGACGCAGGTGGCTCACACCTGTAATCCTAGTAACTTGGGAGGCAGAAATCCGGAGGATCGCGGTTGGAAGCCAACCCGGGCAAATAGTTGGAGAGACCGTACCTCCAAAAAAAATCGATACAAAACAGAGCTGGTGGACTGGTTAAGTGGTAGAGCACCTACCTACCAGTGTGAGGCTCGGGTCCTCTCGGAGCTCCTCAGCGCCTGCCGAACAGACTCGGCCCGTCGGAACTGCAGTTCCCGGCGTGCCCCGCGAGGGGGCGTGGCAAGGGGCGTGGCGGCGAGCCGCGACCGCTCCAGCTAGCGGGCGGGAGGCCGGGCGGAAAGCGGGCGGCGCCGAGCTGAGCTGGCGGGGGACGAGCTCCCGGATGTGGAGAAGCTGGGGAGAAGGCGTGGGAGGAAGATGGACTCGGTGGAGAAGGGGTCCGCCACTTCCGTCCCCAACCCGCGGGGGCGGCCGTCTCGGGGCCGGCCTCCGAAGCTGCAGCGCAACTCCCGCGGCGGCCAGGGTCGCGGCGTGGAGAAGCCTCCGCACCTGGCGGCGCTCGTGCTGGCCCGCGGCGGCAGCAAAGGCATCCCCCTGAAGAACATTAAGCACCTGGCGGGGGTCCCGCTCATTGGCTGGGTCCTGCGTGCGGCCCTGGACTCGGGGGTCTTCCAGAGGTGCGCATGTGCGAGAGTGGGCGGTGCGGCCGGGCCAGGGCGGGGCGGGAGCGCGGGCCGGGCGGGGGCGGCGCCCCCCGGGAAGTGCGGGGTCCGGGACTCCCCGGCCGCAGCGCCTTCCGGTTCCGTAGCGGTGACCTGGAGCAGCCTCTGTCATGCCCTTGAGCATGCCCCCCAAAACTGGGCATTGCTCTACATGTCACCCCCGCCCCGTGGACCCCAGGTGGAAGCAAGCGAAGGAACCCCTTCTCTCCCCCGTCACTCCTGTGACCTGGGAGGTCCGGGACACACTGGCCTCGGTGACCCCTGTTGCTCAGCTTCGCTATATGCGCTGGGCTGAACGATCAGGGAGGCATCAGGTTCATGAGTGGAGTCCAGTGTCAGGGCTTTGTAGTTTTAGCTCGACTTGGAGATCCTATACAACCTTCGGAAACTACTTCTCTGTCGGTGAGTCAGCACAATCCTGAAATCTCCCTGCTTTTGCACGGATGTGAGAGACCTGTGTGTGGCAGTGTACACAGTCTACCGTTTTATGGGAGGATGTAAATGGTTTTACATAACACTTGAACTTTGCCCTAAGGGCGGTTTCATTTGTGCATCATTTACGGACACTGCCATATGCCACCTTAGGCAGGTGTTACACGTCGATGTCATTCCTCAAAGATGAGAGAGAGACTTCTTTGCTGAGAATTGTTTTTCCCCTATTAGCTCCAACCTAATTACACTTGAATTGGTTGTTAAATTATCTTAATCTTGATGTTTAGGGTTTTAAGAAGATGATTGTTTTTGAAGTATATTAATTTTTCCATAATTACCCATATTATGTTATGGGTAACTTATTTGTCTAACTTTATTAAAAATGAGATACCAAAAAAGGGTAAATTTACTAGTTTTCTTAATGTTTTAACCCAGAGGGAGCCCTGGGTGGAGCAGACAAGCAGGAGCTAGTGCTTAGAAGATAACACTACTGCAACAGGAAGTGTGCTAAGGAGTGATTGGGAAGGACTTGGGGACTTGGTTCAACTCAGCAAACATTTCCTGTGCCTTAATTTCTGTCATACCCATGCAAGGGAACGCCATAATCCATACATGGCTCTTGTCCCTGTGAAGCTCACAGTAACTTCCTAACACATAGCACAAACTGCAAAAGACTTGAGAGGAGTGGATATACCCAGCACTGCAAGAGGCAGATGACAGAAGATGGTGGTTCCAGACCAGCCCTGGCAAAAAGTTAGCAAGACCTTGTTGTAAGCTGGACACAGTGCTTCGTGCCTGTAGTCCCAGCTACTCACATAGGTAGGAGGATCACAGTCAAAGGCCAGCCCCCAGGCAAAAATGTGGGAACCTACTTGAAAAATAAGGAAAGCAAAAAAGGGGTGGGGAATTGGCTTAAGTGGTAGAGCACCTTCCTAGCAAGAATAAGGCCTTGAGTTCAAACTCTTTAAAAATAATAATAATAATGCAGGTCACAGTGTTATACTCAAATCTCATTTTTGTGAAACAAATGGGATCAAAATCACATTCACAGTAGATGGAGAGCAAAACTCATTTACAACAACTTTTGGATTACATGTCAGGAAATCACTTTCAAACTGGCTTAACAAAAAGGTTAGGTCTTGTTTCAGGTAATTAGATTCAAGGACAAAAAAAAACCCACCATTCTTTGATTCAGAAATACCTACTGACTACCTACTTTGTTAAAGGCACTGTGTCCTGAAAAAGGAAGCGGGAGGTTATAGAGGTGGGAAAAGTGGGTTCTGCTCCCACTCGAAGAAGCCACTTTCTGAAGAGACAGTGATAGCCCAAGAAAGAACTTTATTGTCAACAAGCAGGCAGGTGGGGGATGGAGGACATTCACCCAAATTCTATCTTGCAGGGAGATCACATGTACAAAAGCTTATATGGGATTTCTAGGGAGTCTGATTTACCCACAGCCAGGTGGGGACTGGATGGTCACTAGTGCTTGCATTAGTCAGTTCTCTTGATGTGGCTTTCATGTCCACAAATCACCAGGCATTCTGGACATTCCTAGTCTCTACAACCCTAAAGAAAGATTACTCATTAGGAGGTTGTATGGCTGATATTGTTCTTTGATGTTTTCCCTTATTCTTCTTTTCAGACAGGGCTGACTTTTGCTAAAATATTTGGGGAGTGAAGCAAAACAGAAACAGTGAAAAACAGACTTGCCAGTGCAAGGATAGAGTTAACCCACTCGTTGATACACCTTACCTCATGAAGCTTACATTGAAACAGAGAGATGGTGTTAAGGCTTGGATATGTAGTGTCTCCCAAAAGGCACACATATTGATGGATTGCTTCCCAGCTGGTGGACTCAGTCATTTAGAGGTGATTGGATCGTGTGGGGTCTACCTAACAAGTGGACAAACCTCTTAATGGCATTACTAGGTGGTGGAGGAAGCTTGGAAGAAATAGGTTACTGGGGGTTGTATCTTGTCCTGGGCCCTCTCTGCTTCTCTCTGCTTCCCAGCCATGGTGAAGTGAGCAGCTCTGCTCCTCCACGCCCTCTCCACCATGATGCTGTGCCTCACCACAAGCCCACAGTGATAGGGCCAAATGATCATGGGCTGAACTCTCTGAAACCATGAGCCAGAATAAGCCTTTCCTCCTTGTTTCTCTCAGGTGTTTGTCACAATAACAGGGAAGCTGACTAACCCAGGCAGGCAGCATGCAAACACGTTAAGATATATTAGGTGGCGATAACTGGTTGAAGGGAAGAAAGCAGGCTAAGGGTCCCCTCTGCTACCAAAATTCTAGTTCTTGGTTCTGTCCCTTTAGGATAACTGAACAAAGAACAGAAAGATTCACTGCACATATGGACTGTGTCCAAATCTTTGCACTAAGTGATGACCAAGTTCTTATGGCCACTATAGTTTAAGGCCAGGTAACTAGGGTGATCCTAGTCCCTTTTAAAATACCTACTTAAAAAGACTCTGTGCTACCAGGAGAATGATGATAGGCTGAAACCTCTAGTACAGAAGTTACTTTAGAAAGCTTTCAATTGTACAGACCTTCTCTGCCCTTGGAGATGTAAATCTACCATCCAAAACTGTGTCCCTCCCCTTCAGGTGAAATGCAAACATGCTGGAGGATTATTGCTGTCCTTTCTAGTCCCTGTGGGAGAATAGGGGCCTAACTTTGGTTGATGCCTTGCTTCAACTTGTACTGTTGTCCCTTCTCATAAAGATATTTTTTTTTCTCCTGGTAAGCCCCAATTAATAAATCCAAATAGACCAACCCCCTTGATCACCTCTTGGTGTGTCTCCCTTAACACCACAGCCTTGAAGAAAGTCTTCAGACTTTTGTTCTCAGGACATTTGGGTTCAGTTCATACCAGCCTGTTCCCTGTTGGAGTAGTTAAAGCAACACCTGCTTGTTTATCCTTTACAACACTTCTTCACATGTTTCCAGATGTAAATGTAGTCACAAGGATCAGCTCTCCGCCAAGCTTCAACAAACTTCTCGTTGGGTTCCCTGCCCATCCTCTAACCAGTCACTAGTATTGGTGCAGTTTAGTCACTCTGCTACTGGGAGCCAGTGATAGAACCCCCACTGAGGCACATGCAGGTTTATCAAGAGGAAATGAGTAGTATCACCAAAAGGGAGAGAGTAGATTCCAGGAGTCAAAACCCAACCAACAGCATTATAGCAGACATTGGAGATTCTGCGAGGAAATGATTGGAAAATTCGTGTATGTTAAACAATGATTTTTCATGTTTCTACTTAGTAAAATGCATTTGTACAAAATGCCATTAAAGATAACTTAAGTGTCACCTTTTTCTGTACCAGTTTTACTTCATATATCTAGACTAGAGTATAAGCCCCTTTACCACAGGATTAGTATATTTCTTAGAGCTACCTGTGGTATCTCACCATACCAATAACGGCGATTATAGAAAGTAAAACAGGAGTTCCCCTTGACTAGCAAACGAGCGTGTACCTAAGTCTGCCCTCTGAAATTTGCAATAGGATGTAACAGAGTGCTTTACTCTGTTCACAGCTGCTTGCTATGTGGCATCCTTTCTGGAGATCTGGAAAGTGAACTCAAGAGGTAATAGCAGGGGCCAGCACTACTTTGTCTTTGCAGACCCTGTCAATGAAAAGCAACTGCTTTGTTTTCCATTTGGAGCAACATTATCCATAGCTTCCCTTAGTACCAGCACTGTGCAGGGTAGTAAGGCCCAGTCACACTGTGGCTTTAAATTCCAGCTTCTCATCAGGCACTGGTGCCTCACACCTGTAATCCTAGCTACTCAGGAGGCAGAGATCAGGAGGATTGCAGTTCAAAGCCAGCCTAGGCAAATAGTTCGCAAGACCCTGTTGTGAAAAAACCCATCACAAGAAAAGGGCTGGTGGAGTGACCCAAGTGGTAAGAGTGCCTGCCTAGCAAGTGCAAGACCCTGAACCTGAGTTCAGATCACAGTGCCACAATAAATAAATAAATTCCAGCTTGTCCATGTGTTAACTGTGTAACCTTCACCTCTCCATACTTGAGTCTCCTCATCTTGAATCCACCAAATGGACTTAGGGAATTAAGAGAGATAATGTGTGCATAGCCCTACAACAGTGCCTGGCCCAAAGGATGTGCTCTAACATTGACATTTTCTCTTGTATTGAAGGTCTTTACAATCACTGTCTCTTCCCTGAGCCTTGGCTTGGTTTCCTTGCTTGTAAATGGAAAATTAGTAATGACCTCCAACATTCTTTCTAGTGCTAACATTCCTTGACTTTGAAGTTATTGGAAACATCTTTATTCTGATTTTCAGCTTTTTGGCAGCCTTTTCTATAAAAGGCCAGATAGTAAACACATTAGGCTTTGCAGTGCAGATGGTCTCTTGCAGCTACTCAGCTCTGCGGTTCTATGTTGTGAAAGTGGCCATAAGGATACATAAATGAATGGATGTGGCTGTATTCCAATAAAATGAGAAACAAACAGACTGAGGGTGGACTCAATTTGAATTGGGAGAACCCTCCACTTTACCCCCCAGATTAGGTAAAAAGCTATTTTACTCATCCCGCTATGCCTTATACTTTACTCAATTAAGATGTGCTGATTTGGGTTTAATTGATTTACTGTGACTATAGGAGAATTTTGGTTTAAGCTTCCTGCCTCCAATCCTCTCCTTTCTTCTTTCACCATAAGTTTATCTTAGTAGGAAATGGAAGGAAATCACAACTACCTTTTTTGAGTTTTTCAAGGCCAGAAGATACTTTGGAAATGATTTTGTACAAAAACCATGGTTTGATTTAAGGCATAGTTCCCTGCCTGCTCAGAATCAAAGTTAACAATACTTTTCAGAGTTGCTAAACTTTACCTACTAACTAGGATAATTAGCAGTTAAGAAAAATGCTGAGATAAAAATTTTCTTTTACTAAAGAGTTGTTATTAAAGCTGACTTTGTTAGAGCTTTTCAACAGTAGCCTGGTAAACCTCAGAACAAATTGACCTTTACAATCTTGTGTAACATACTGGTGAAAAATAAATATGGCTTAGTTTCATTGCTAAGGTGTAAACTTAGGATTCATGAAAGGCCTATATAATGTTACCCTAATATATTATACTGTGTGTATACCTAATGTACATTACCACTGTTGACATTCTTGCTCATCTGACTTGGTGTCTTGACTTCATTTGAGGCTAAGCTATAGGCTTTGACAGTACTAACTTGATTTTAAATTTTTTAGGCCTCTCTGTTCACTTGCTCATTCTTTCCCTATAGCTGATCTTTTCTGATGCTCCTAAGCCAAAGAAAAGTGATCAGTTCCCTCAGTCCTTTCAATGAGGGGGATCATTATGTTTTAAGTGTACATGTATGGAATGCTACTTTCAGATCCATGGGGCCATTGTCACATGCATACACATTAGCATGTAGACCTTTAAGGATCAGAAAGTGGATTCAGTTTTTCTTGCAGCAGATCAGTGTGAGGGTTCAATGAGACAGTATGGGTGTGCCTTTACACCATTCCTACTTTAGTATTTAGACTTCATAATGCTTATTAAGTGTTTATTCTTTGGTAAGCTGTTTATATGTAATGCTCACAGCAACCATAGTGGCACCCATCATTAGCACCACCTCCACTTAATGCTCTTAGCCACTTGCTGTTCCATTTACTCAACAAATACATGTTGAGCACAGTTATATAGCAAGAACTATGAAAGTACTGTGTGAAGAATAAGGCACTATAAAAAGCATATTTAACTGACTCCTCACCTCTCTTCCTGATATTTAAAGGAAGTTGGGTACCATCTGGGGCTGTCTCTCCTGATAGACAGGAGTTACTCAAGAAAGTGTACTATACTGTATCAATTGTTATACCCTCCTGTCCAGAATAGTGCCCAGGACAGAATAGGCACTCCACAAACATTTTAGGAAGGAAGGAAGGAAGAAAAACCAGCCAACAGACCTCTCTAAAACCTCATATTTAGAAATCTGTCATACGTTTCAAAAAATCACTGAACCTTCTGCTTTTGAATTTTTACCACAGTGAAGACTAGGACAATAAAGTAAATGACTTAAGTATTTACTTCAGTTCATGTGAATTAGATGCAAAAAGACCTGTGTCTTGCTTTTAGTCATTTTTTACTATGTTCTAATTACCTTGTTATCCTCCCTTCTCTATTTTAAATGCACTGGATTTTCATTAGTACTTATTCACTTTGTTATATATCTTTGACATTTCTTCAGTGAAAAATCTGTCTCCAAACTATTCCAAAGTTCAAGATGAAGGAAAACGGGACTGTTGTGTTTTACCTTGTAACATGTGCAGGTGTGGGAGACTTCTGACCTCTGGCCAGTAGCTCATCTTGTTCACAAGGCCTCCTTTGGAAAAATTTTTTTGGGTATCGACTTTATCCTTTGATTTATATTGTCTTTCTACATGTGTTAACCAGAAGAAATGAAATTAATAAAGACATCCAGAGTTGTTAGAAATTGTTCCTCACTTCTCTTCACCTTTAATGGTCATGGACATATAAAACGTGCAGATCTCACCCTCAGTGGATGCTGAATGAATGGGATAAAAGAATGTTTATGGCAAAGGCTGTACGTCATTAAAACATCTGTACATGAGATCAGTATTAAGACGTTCACATCTTCTGTTTCTAGCAATGGGAATTTGTAAAGGTCCAGGAAACAAAACTTCAATAGAGACTAGTGCATCTCCCCAAAGTAGCAGTTTGCTCTCAGTCTTCATCTTACAGAATCTAAATCAGCAACTGTTGCCACTGTGGTTAACAGAGTGTTCAGTTAAATTCTCCTGAGCTTGAAAGTTTTAGCTATGGTTTGGCTAAGCCACATCCATTTTTTAAGCATATTTAAATACTTTATACAGTGTGGATTTGGATGAGCTTTTTTAAATTTCCTTTATATTTGACTTCTAGTGCTGTTTGCTTAATCTGTCAGCAGTTTAAAAAATACCAAGTATCAGTTGGGTATGGTAGGACACACCTGTAATCTCTGCACTTGGGAAGCAGAAGCAGAAGGATTGTGAGTTCAAGACCAACTGAGCTACATTGCAAGACCCCTGTCTCAAAAAAACAAATAGAATTTTTTTTCCTTCCTTTTGTAAAACTCTACCTTGGACTACCTAAGTAACAGTTACATAAATAATACATAAAATAGATACTTATTTTATAAAAATATCCACATCTACACTTTTATTTGTACATTAATATAATTTGCATGCAAAGAACTTTATGATTCTTTATATTTTATATTACTTTAGATCTTTAACATTTTGATCATGTGAAAGTTACATTATGTAAGTTGTAATTGGTGTTACAGAATACCTTCTTTATTGCTAAGGATTTCTTTGGATGAGTTGGCTATTTAAATTTTCTTTTTTTAAATATCTGAACAGCGTGTGGGTTTCAACAGACCATGATGAAATTGAGAATGTGGCCAAGCAATTTGGTGCACAAGTTCATCGAAGAAGTTCTGAAACTTCCAAAGACAGCGCTACCTCGCTAGACGCCATTGTAGAATTTCTTAATTATCACAATGGTGAGAATTTTGATTCTTGTTTATCCAAAGTCTCATATAATTTATAACTATATCTTACCAGGTGGCTTTAACATTCGCGTTCTTAAATGTTGATTCTTAGTATAGCTTGCAGTAACTGTATTTTGGTGTCTGTTTACTTTTGTTGTCTTAAGAGGTTGACATCGTAGGAAATATTCAAGCTACTTCTCCATGTTTACATCCTACTGATCTTCAGAAAGTCGCAGAAATGATTCGAGAAGAAGGATATGATTCTGTTTTCTCTGTTGTGAGACGCCATCAGTTTCGATGGAGTGAAATTCAGAAAGGAGGTAAATCTGTTTTCATTCTTTATTTTAACTTATTTTTACTGAGAATCAGTGCTTTTATATGTAAATATTCTTTAGGAGAAAGAGAAAAAGGAGCCATAGAGAGTGTTTCATTATGATTGCAATAGGTAATGACATTGATAGTCAATTCTAGATCTTGTTATTGAGGCAAGACAGTGAAACCCAATTATTTGCTATACTAACCCTCTATTTTTATTTGTGTTTGAGAAGACATGTCATTTTTCTAGATCAAATATTTCTGCAGTGATTCCACACTTGTTTCATAAGCTTTGTACAACTCCTGGGGATAAAGCGTTTGCCAAGGAGCTCTGAAGAAGAATTGTGGCTAGCTTTCCCATGTTTATAACTCATAAATAAGAAGGGCTTCCTAGGGTTTAGTGGGAGCCTGACTAAACTTTCAAACGCTATAGTAAACGCTATAATAAAGAATAGAATTTCTAACAAACAGGTAAATGTAACATTCTTGGGGAAAGGCAGTGTGATTTCTGCTAGATGCACTGATATTTGCTGAGTTTGGGAAAGCTGCCTAGTTTGTCCCTACCATGTGTATCTTAAAGAAGTTGGTAAGACGGACAGGGAACCTGAAGATGTAGAAAAAGAACCATTAGGACAGCCAAGATCTTATAGGTAGGCTGCAAAGAATGACTTTCAGTCTCAAAATAGAATGCTATCAGAACCAGAAAATGCAGTGATTAGTAAATGCATTTATTTACTAATTTCATCCAGTAAATATTATTGTGTTTTCTCTGTACCAGGTCTGTGCTAAGCTATATGTATAAAATTTTGAACTTATCCACCATATTTCAGAAATAAGATAGAGGAAAGAGCTATTAAGTGTTAAACAGACTTTTAAAGCAAACCAAAAACACAAAGTTAAACTTGTGTTTATTTGCAATGAGTAAAGTTAGATAAGCTCAAGAAATACCTGGATCGAACAGATGACAGATGCATAGGTGGCAGAGCCATGAGTATTCTTAAGCAAATGAGGGGTGTCTGAAGAAATAGTGACTGTTAGGGTTAGTAGTTCTGTGTTTTCATGTGATGTACTCCCTTGGAACTACTGTGAAACGGTGCTACTTATGGGCAGTGTGATTCTAAACCAGACCACTATTTCTTAAGATTCTGTTACTCTCCTTGTTTATAAAATCTTCACTGCTGAAAGTGCTGATGGTTTAATCAATACTTTAAAAATTGTTCCACTTATTTTCTATAACTTGTATATTCCTTTTTTTTTTTTAAAGTTGTCATCTCTTCACTCTTTATAGTGGCCACCAGCAGCACTAACACTTGGAATGTTAACAGTGCCAAACTGAGGTGTGCCCTTAGTACAAATATATGCACTTCTAAGATTTAGTATGTAAGAAATACTGTAGTATCACATTAATAATTTTTAATTATCACATGTTGAAATAACATTTTGGATCCATTGGTGAAATAAAACGTGTTGGTAAAATACACTTTTACTCCTTCAAAATACACATATTAAAATGTACATTTCAATATACATTAGAAAGTGTAACATTACATGCGTTGCTTGGCTTGCTGCTCTGAAGACTACACTGTACCCTTAGCTTGATACTCCACGTTTACCTAGCATGCTACAACTTCACAACTAAGAACCTTCACTCCAGTATAGTCATATATGCTCTCCTTGTAAAGCAAGTGATTGCTCCATAATTATGCCACAATGCAGTATATCTATTTAAAAATAACTAATAGTATTTAAAAAGTTATTTTAATGGTAGAGTGCTTGCC